TCTCTAAAGTGTTGGGGGGTTGGGAATAAGGCCAAATAGAAAGTTATTAGTTGATATTGTTACAGGGCAGGGAGAGGGGCACCCCAGAACCCCCAAACCTGTCCACTATAAATAGGTTATGGATGCTGCAAAACTACTTGGAAGAAATTGAACTTAGTCTTTCTACCCTTGGATAAGCTAGACCTTTTAGCAAATATTAGCTAATACTAACTTCAGGGGATGGATGAAAAGAGTGGTAAAGTGCTCCTTTTGGTTTCCTGGGGTCCCAGCTTCAATACTCAGGGCCACAAGCCAAACTCCCTAGAAGAATTTCTCCTTTATTTGCCATCTTGCTCTCCCTCATATTTTTGAGTGAAATTCCCCATTCTATTTAGTGTTAATTCTTAAAGTGAACAATTTCAGTTAATATATAATTGGATCATCTGGTTGTTGTAAATTTTTTTAAACAAAGGTTATAATGTATATTCGCATTTGGGGAAATTATTTTCTTGGGAAAAGGCACAGTACTGATAGAAAAGGCATGTTTTGCCTTTGGTGTGAGCTGTGAAGATTAATTTATGAATCAGATTCTTGAACTTAGAACCCCACCTATTGTCTCTTCCATGTTGTGATACCTTGTTTTCCAAATTGCTCTTCTTGAAGAATTTATTTTACATTTGAATTAGAACTATTTGACAACATTCTCAGTGTCAAATCAGTGGGGTCCAAATCAGCGAAGCTTTGCCATGTAGTTAATGCTTGAGAGCAGAAGGGAGTTCAGAATGTAATGGTAGGAAAATCTTCTGTCAGCTATTAATTTGGCTGACAGTGATGTGGCTCTTCAAGCTGTTATGCCTTGAGGAGTGAGGTCCGTAAAGGAGATGGCCCTAGGCCCCTCGCTGGGAATCTCCGGTGTGGATATCCAGATTCTTTAATGATTTATAATTGGACCAGAGCAGATCGTGGGGCTCTAATAGCCTTTCTCTGTGGTTTATAAGTTTGAAAAGATTTAGTACCTACTGTCTTTCTTTAGGACATTGATGGAGGCTCCCAGTGCTCAGATTTTATGCTTATTAGTGATACTTTTCATGAGTTTCCAGGGCTAAAGTGACTTTTTCACACTGCTTAATGATTTTCAGTTTAACTCCCTTTCTGAGTGGGATGTTGTAAAGATTAATTAGCCAGTGTTCACAAAGTGCTCTCAAGCTGAAAAGTGCTGCACAAGGGTGTACAGACTCATTAGCTTCTTAGTCATTAAGCTTTTTAGACCTTTTGGCATTCAGAAACTAGTTGGCCAGATTAATATGCTATTTTAGAGGAGGGAGAGCCTCAGAAAGAGAAGAATATCTTTTTTTTTTTTTCCAGGACATCTGTTGCACTGGGACTAACCAGGATATAGGAATGTTTTGCTTCTCCTTATCTAATACTTCCACATTGCTTCAATTTCTTACTTCTCTCTCTAAAATGTATCCATCTATTTTTCCTGAACATATATTTGAAAATGCTATGGATCATATTGTAATCTAAGTAGCAATAGTGGCGTGGAGTCTGACACTAGAGAGTTGAATCATGAGAATGTAAGATAACAGGGTTGCTCATTCCCTTTGTAAATAATATCCTCTCTCAGTTTGCAGTGTGTCACATCTGTTCACAGATGTGGTCAATATATGCTAGAGTTCTGTATGATTCAGTTGTCTTTGAGTGAGGTTGGAAAATTACAAGTTGGCCACCAAAGATATAAAGAGGTTCTGAAAGAACCAGAGACAAACATGGATAACCCCATAGCTAGCTAGATTGACAGCTAACTTTCTAAGTATTAAGGGAAAATAGTTGTCAACCTGGAATTATATATCCAAATAAATTATTTTTCAAGAGTGATTATAAAATAAAGACATTTTGTACAGAAAAAAAGCAAAGCATTTAACACCAATGCTAAAGGAATTCTAAAGGATTGTCTTTGAAAGAAAGAAAATTACCGCAGAAGGAGATGCTGGAAAGAATGAAGAAGATAACACTGATAAGCATGTGGCTAAATCTAAATAAGCCATTAGCTAATAAGAATAATAATGTCAAATTCTCAGTAACAAAACAAGACAGAAGTAGGAAAAAAAACACATACATCCCAGGGAAGTAGTGTTGAGAGATGTGTGTTCCAAGTTTCCTGTCATATTTGGAAGGTGGCTAAAAAATATAAAATTTAGGTTTAATTAAACATGCACATACATTTTTTAAATTTATCACTAAAATTAAGGAAATGTTTTGTAATAGTGGGGAAATCAAGGGAATGAGAAAAAGTCAACAGCAATTAACTAAAAAAAAAAGAAAGTAAAGAAATTTAACACAGATTTTAGTAATTGTTGCTGGGTCTCTTACCTTACAGTTACAAATAGTTAACCACTCTTTGGATTTCATATACACAGACTATGTGACTATGTGTGTACACACACACACACACACACACACCTAAGAGCAAACAGAGAAAACAATAATCCTAATCCTAATGATAAGTGAATGTGTTCTTTTGGCTTGTGCTAACAAGGTCAAGTAATAACATCATACATAGGGTACAGAGCATCAGGGTACAGGGCATCATGTTACAGGAGAGGAACCCCAAATGTTACACACCCACCCTTTTAATGTACAGAAAACCTGCCTAACCTCTGTCCCAGAGGGAGATACTTTAATTGTACTGCAAAGCAAATAATTCTGTTGTTTGCTCTGGAAGAAGACACTGCCTTCCAAGGCTGTTCATTAGACAAGCACTCTGGAAAGACAGAAGTAGTGGCTTTTATTGCCATATGTGCAGAAATGTGAGAGCCCCATGATGAATTATTTCTTAACAACTTTGGATAAATTCATAAAACCTCAGTTTTTTCATCTGAAAGATGGAAAGAGTGGTATAACATAAGGCATTGTAATGATCAAATGATGAGAGAACATAGAAGACATGCCATCTCCAAGGACTTTGTCAGCAGCAGCTGCTATTATCAACAAAATTGTTCATGAAGAGGATGTTAACACTTTTTTTGAGTTCTTTGTTTTTTCTAAGAAATAAAATATTTCTAATTATTTTCATCACCAAATGTTAGAGCAGAAAAGGACCAGAAAAATTAAGGAAAAGATTTAGAGATTGTAAGTGACATGGTAGCCTTTATACATAACAACCATATAAGGGACATTGGTAATCTGATTTAAAATTCAGCTTCCTTTAAATTAGATACATTGCTTGGATCTCAATAAATATTGGCTTTCCAAATAAAATGAAGGAATTCTATAATGTATTATAAAACATTTTGCATGGTTATTTGGTTACTCTTCTTCCCACTTGCTTAGCTTATAAATCATTCTAAAATGTGACCCGTAAAGGTGAAAGAAAAGAGGGAGGGAGGAGTGGTGAGTTAAATTAAGTAACCCACATCTACACCCTTCCTTCCACCTCCATCATAATTATTATCTCTAGACAGAGAAGAACTGAAAACTGGAAGGAAAGTGCTTTCTGTCCAGGTGGGTGAAATTGAAAGTGCTTCCATTCTGGCTCATGGCAGGAATTTCTGGCAGGATTTTGTCAAGAGCATCATGCTGGCTTATCCACAAGCCTCCTAAAGCATGGGGCGGGGTGGGGGGGGGGGACAGAGAGGGTGAAAAAATAGCATCTATTTCTTGAAAGCGTGTTATAAGGAATGAGTATCTTTTGTAGAATTAAATGACCTGAGCTGCTGGGTGAGTTTAAACAAGTTACTGTTGAGTTTCCTGATCTCTAAAATACACAGAAAGTTCCTCCATGAGGAGTTGATGTACAACTAAAATGAAGAACTGACATAAGAGTGCTTGACATATAGCAGACCTTCATTAAATATTCGTTTGCTTTGAATCAAATTCAGTGAAAGAATTTATCCTGGAAAAATCTCTAAAAACCAACTCATTGATTTCATACCCCTACTTAGTACCATTAGTACCAATCACACTGTTTTTCTCTCTCCTTTAAGAGTGGGGTAACAGCATTACATTAGCTTTTACAGTGTTTTGAAAAACTGTCAGGAAGCCAAGGCCAGATTTGAGCATATCCCAGTAACCAAGCAAGATTTTATTTTTTTAAGATTTATTTATTTAAGCATAAAAAATTGGGGAACAGGTGTAGAGGTGCAGGGTTAATGAAAGGATTCACCAGAGATAGAGTGGGGAGCAGAACAGGGCTGACTGACAAAGTACACTGCTGAGGGGAGCAGTGGGAGAGACAGGAGAGGTCTGCTGTGTCATGCGGATCACCTCCCTGGCCAGGGATCAAACTTGTGCTGCAGTAGCTGTGGATAGCTTCTTAGTGCTGTGCTTTACTCATTACACCACCTGGGAGGGCCCACAGGATTTCTTTCTTTTCTTTTCTTTTTTTTTTAAAGCAAGTACTTTTTATTTTATTTATTTATTTTAAAGATTTTATTTATGTATTCATATAGAATTGGGGTATAGGCCAGAGATGCGGAGGGTGAGAGGATTCACCAGAGACAGAGCCGGGAGCAGAACAGGCAGATAGATGAAGTACACTGCTGAGGGGAGCAGCGGGCGGGTCAGGAGAGGTCTGCCACGCCATGTGGATCTCCTCCGGGGCAAGTGGGAATCGAACTCATGCGGAAGTGTTTTTAGCTTGTTAGTGCAGCGTTTTAACCCGCTGAGCCACCAGGGAGGGCCAAGATTTCTTTTTAATAGAAATTCACAGTGAATGTGATTTACCCCTCATTGTTTATGTACCTCAAATCCTGGGCAACATCACATCCCACTTGAATAATTCTGTTCTGCATGTTGCTTTATGTCTTCATATATGTGATTTTTTTTTCTAGTTACAGCTTGATTAGACTCTCTGAGAGTTAACTGAAAAATATCCTTTTGAAATTGACATACTTGGATAAACAACTCCATAATTAATCTCTATGATTGAAAAGAAAACATTAAATTTAGGCCTATGCCGGAAATGTGTATTTAGTTCAGTGATGTTTTAATCTTAATGTTTTTTTTTCTTTGCCCTCCAGGTTATGCAGATGTATCTTCCATTTTGTGGAATCGCCATTTCTAATGCTCAGCTATTTGCTGCCTCGAGGAAGGAGTATGAAAGAAGCAGAGTGAGTAGAAAGAAATATGCTGACCACCCACCACACTGTCTTTCTCGTGTCTGAGTCATTGTGTATTTTCAAAACAGCAGATGACATTCACAGCAACATGGATGGAACTAGAAGGGATCAGTGAAATAAGTCAGAAGGAAACAGGAAAATATCGAATGGCTTCAGTTATTGGAGGAATATAAGAGAACCAAGTAAGACGTAGGGGAAAATTTTATTGTTAGTACAATATAAAACAGAACATCATGTTATATACCTTAAACAAAGTTACACATCAATTCTGTTTCAATAGAGCCATAAAAGAGAGATTTTGAAAAAAAAGACTTGCTTGGGGTTAGAGCAGTGAAATGTGACATTTGTCCCCAAATTAGCAGTGAAATCTAGAGACTTAATGATGTGAGCAATGAGTAAAGATAACTTTTGGTCTCTGTACAGCTGGCAAGTTGACAGTTGCTTACAGGAATCTTTGATGGATAGGTCAGGCCTAGAAGTTAATATGTGGAAATTATCAGTATAGAGATGGTATTTAAAACCAGGGTACCAGCTAGGTTAATGTGAGAAAGAGTATATAGGTAAAAGAAGAGGTTCAAGGATGAACCCTGGAGAAAAGAAGTCACTAGGAGGAGCAGGAAAATGCAGGTGTTGGTTTCCTGGAAAGCAAGTTAAAAGAAGGGAGAATTCAATTGTGTGAAAGACTCCCAGTGTCTACTGAATTGCCTATCATCTTAGATTTTCTTCTCTTACTCCTGTTCTGGAGCTGGGCTGCATTGTAATTTGCAAAACTTTCATCACTTGTTAGTAAGCAGCAATTTTAAATTAGAAGCAATAAAATTACTAGAATGTGATTTGTCAGTGCAAGGCTCAAGGCACAATTAGTTTTTCCTCGGAGATAAATGTTCTTGTATATAGGTCCCAGAGGCCTTATTCAGGCAGTCACAGCAAATTGAAAAGTTAAATAATTGTTCAGTTAATATGATTCATCTGAAGACATAGTCTGGCTATTTAAGGAAATAATGCTTTCCCTTTTAATACTAGGGCATTTTGTTTGTCACTATTCAGACTTATTTTTTCTGCTGTGTTTGAACATGAACTTATTGGTCATTGATCTTTTACAGAGATGTCAAAATGTCAAACAATCACGATACACTTAAAACTTTTTCACCTCCTGATGCTTCTCTTTTATTTGGGATCATAGGGCAATCCATGGTCTTTAGCCATATTGCCAGCTCTCTTTAGAGAGAAGTCTGCCAGGGTGTTTGGACCTCTTTTAGATGCTCAGTGAACTAGATTTATTTCATGGGTCCCTTAACTCATTCAAATGCCTTTCTACCTAAATAGAATCAGAAGAAATTTTCACATGTTTCAGGACAAATTAAATTCATTACCAAAGTTGAAAATAAGTCAAATCCTTGGGATGATGAGCAACACCATCATCTACTTGAATAGATGTGAATTTGAAAACCCATGAAATCCTTTTGTGAGGGGTCAGAATTGAGATTTCACATCCCATTAAATTCTATTGAATAAAACATCCCCTGGCCAATTCACTGGCTGTGTAATTTTCTGATTGCTCTCTGATAGAAGCATAATAGCTACCACCTGTACATAATCCACTATTTTTAAATCTGTGACAATATCCATGTTATTAGAAATTGTCAATAAATATTTCAGTACAAAAAAAGCAAGCTAAATTAAATGGATGAAATGATAGGTTATTCCAATTTGATTTTTAAATACAGATATAAGTTTTAGTGAAATTTAGAATTTTTTCTTAAATTGTGGGCTTTTCATCCTGTTTTAACAGAAATTTTAATGGTGTTTTCTTTCCTGAGGTAGTAGTGTTCAAATGTTCTCCCATATGGATTGGGATAAAGCATACTTCTTGTGTCGAGGGGTTAATGGGAATTTTATGTATTATTTGAAGGCTCTGAAACTCCACTAGCCATTCTACACTATAATTCGTTCAGAAATCTATGGGAGATGTGTATTAGTGAGAATAAGTCTCAAGTTCGGCCTAGTTCCTCCTGATGGTGAGCATGAACTGCTTTGTAAGTTTATGAAATAAATATGCTTTAGGGAAAATCAGATATTCATTATTTAGAAAATGTTAAGTTTATCTCTATTCACACTGCAGAAAAACTATGAAAAAAATCTTTAGTCACTCTATGGTATCATGTAATCTTTAGCTATATGTGAAATTTACAAGGTCTCAAATGACTGGCACTATTCTCAAGTTGGTTTTTGTTGCTCAAGATATTCATAAAATGAAATGATGGAAATAAGTGAAAAGGAAAAAATGAGCCACACAACAATATTTTTTATCTTATTATGACAAAGATTACATGGATGTAATCAGAGAAAAAAAATCCCACCCAACATTTTTATTCACTCCTATATTGACCAGAATATATTCATGTTATTTTCCCTAGGCTTTGCTTGAGGTGGTTAATGACCTCTTTGAAGAGCAGACGGACCTGGAGAAAATTGTCAAGAAAATAATGCATCGGGCTCAAACCCTATTGAAATGTGAGCGTTGTTCTGTTTTACTCCTAGAGGACATTGAATCACCAGTAAGTCACCTTTTATCTTTCCTCTTGCGGGGAAGACTGCTTTATAGAACAAGGTTGAGTTTCATTGTAATTAAGTTTGTTGGGAAGTTAGGGTTTGAATCACTCTCTTCGTGATGCCTCTAACCATGAGGTGACTTTTATCAAATTTAAGATTTCAATTTCTGTCACCTTAGAAACAGAGACTTTTATGCTGACAGGCACTTTCCAGAGCTATCCCATTTGGTGTATCTAAGGTTGAAGGAAACAAGGTGTTTAAAATTTGTGTAGTCCCACAGGGCCAAGGGAAGATAAACTCAGTGTCTAATCTCCTATCACCCAGCCCCTCTGAGGGAGCTGGGCAGTCCTCAGCATTGGTGGGTCCTGTGGCGGGGTCCATAGCCCTTGTACTGGGTGCAAAGAAGTCATGCTCTTTACTCTGGGGTTGGAGTTGTACTTGTGCTGAGTGGGGTGGCCAGCCTCCCCTGGGCTATCGGCAGGAGTTTGACTGCTGCTTCTGCAGTGCCCTTTCCAGGTTCTTGTGCTGCTTCTTTGAACCACAGGACTCCTGCACAGAAAGCCCCAGGCCTGGGAAAGAGGCCTTTCCTATTCACCACAGGAGCTCCTGTTACTCTGAGGGCTGGCATCAGGGCAGTTCTAGGCCTCAGGGCTGCTGCATCTTGGCTTTCAAGTTCTAACAAGGAGTTTGGCCCTTGGGGGTGAATCAGCTGGATAGTACACACCAATTTTGAAAACAGTGGTCATCATTAATCTGATTTCTTGGAAGTAAAAATTCTCTTTGGCAGTAATTTAGTATCTTTGCTGTGAACATCTTTCAGAAACCAGGAGTTATCTAGCAATCAAGTGCTGTTTTAATGCCTCAGAATATTTTACTGTACCTTCTTCGGAAGGTATTATTGCCTTCAGGTTTGTTTTCCTTGGAGAACAAGAATCTTACAGTAAACTTTGGAGCTCTAATAAGTGTTGTACAACTTACAACATTGAACATATTTTAGCAGAGTTTTATTTTTATTTCCATGGGTATGGATTATTTCCCCACAGGGTGCTCCTTGGTGCTAGGCAGGCTGTGAGGGTCCACAGGGAAATGGTCACTAAGGAAAGGCAGGAAGGGTCAGTGGTGGGGCTTTAGCAGCCAGGCTTCCATGAGCCACACACCCCCTTGAAGGCAAGAGACTGGTGACCATCTGAAATCTGGATAGGGACAAACTCAAAGTTCTCTATTCAGTTGTAAATGGGCATGGAAATAATTCAAACCAGCTGAGTGTGGTCATTCCTGCTAATATGCCAACATGGGCTAACTTTCATGCTGTGGTCTCGTTCCTGGCAAGTCAGATGACAAAGGACAGTTATCAAAGTTGACTGGGAAAGTGGGGCAGCATTGGAAGGAATGCTGGGTACAGTAATAGCTTCATGGTATGAAGTATAGGGAGGGGATCAAAACCAACTCTCTACGGTGTTAGTAGGTTACTGAAAGTGAAAAGAACTTTTAGTTATCGCAATTAAACATGCTAACGCTGTAAATGGGGTCAGAGCAAAAAATTCCAGACCACTCTCCATCATTAGTTCTCTTTGTCCATCCTCTCCCCATCAAAGTGAGGCTGAATTCCTCTAATTCAGAGCTGCAAGGACTGGAGGTCAATAAAAGACTGCAGAATAAATGTCTGATCTACCCAGTTATGTTTTAGAAGTGCTCGAGATACTTTTGCCAAGACCACTGCCTGGGACGATGGCAGGAGAGTTGAGGATGGGCCTGAGGGTGTCTGTCTGTTTTTCACCATGTTGCAAGCTGATGCTGTGTTCTTCTTTACACACGTCTCACCAAAGGTTTCTCAAAACTTCAGACTTTAAGAGTCCTCTGTTTAGTGCGTTCCCCTCATTGCCAGGCAGAAACTGTAGAAAGGTGATCAACTGTAGTGTTATCTTGTTCAGGAGGAGAAGCCAGACAGAACAGGACACCAGACACCAAAATTAGGTGCTGGCACAGTGGTTGCAACAAACAGAAAACCATGAAAAGACTAAGATCTCTGACTGGGACGACCCCTTCCCCAACTCTGAATGCTGAATGTGTAGAGAAATATTACAAACCTTTGTCATGTAGACATATGTGTGTAATTTGAAAGAAAGATGTATTGTTTCAGAGGGGAAAAAAATCTGTTCAGTGTTTCCCTCCTCAAAAACATCCTCTGTATTTTCTATTTTATTAGAATGTTTTCTGGAAACAAGGACTTTTAACTTCACAAGTCCTTTTAAAATTTTAGAAGCTGTTTATTGCAGATGTATGATATTTTATGATTTCTCACATTGAGGGAAAGAGAAAAAATTAAATCTAGTCATAGAAGCTTTGATTCATCAGGCTCTTAACTCAGTCCTTAGAGACTGCATTCATGGCCTTTAAACTGGGCAGTCAGGTGTAAACTGACGAGTTTGCCCAGAGGATGCCAGAAATAGAAAGGAGGAATACCATTCTAATCTTCTCTCTTGCCAAACTTAATATTCTACCCTCCTTTGCTTCTCTTAAGTGTTTCATTCAATCAAGTTTAAGTGACTTTGTCAATGGTATTTTCCACCACACTGAAAAATACCAAGGTTGTTCTATAGCCAGCTGCCTATGAACATTAGAGAATGTCTAACCGAGTACTCACTGCTTACTGTCATTCTCTCCATGAACCTGTCTAAGCAATTTCTATCACTTCTCTTAGTTCCTTTCTAGCTAATGTATTTTCTGTTATCCGTGTTCTGTTTGTGTTTAGCCAAGGAAAGAGAATGTAGACATTTTTATCTTGTGTCCTCAGGCACTGTCTCAGTACCAGTGTGTCCATGTGCTCTTTCATGTATCATTCTGCTGGCTGGCATCTCTTGTGTTGTCCAGAACTATGCAGTTTATGAGATTACTGTAGTTCATTTTCTAAACCACGACACTTAAGCTACACTTGTTTTCAATTATGTTTCTTGGCATCTTGGTTCTTATGTGAATACATGTATAATTAAACCACTGAGTTAGAAAATCTTCCGAATCAACACTTGAGAGGAAGAGGTAGGGGTGATCATCTTGTTGTTGGAACATCCTGTAATTCAGTCTCCCCCATTGTAAATGGGTGGTAAAAAATTGCTTCAGGCTTTCCTTTTTATTTCACTTTCTTTCCATTTCCCCCCTTTTCTTTTTCTAAATTTCCTTCTTCCTGTGAGGAAACCAGCTTAAATGGTTTTACTTTTTCTAGAGTGCAAAACGGACGGTATTAAATAAAACATTGATGAATAGCTGAATAATCCTTGTTACATATGTTAAAAAATAATAGTCAACTGAGTAAATTTTTAAAATCTTAGCTTTATTCAAGGATTCATAAATCTGGCTACATCTAGTCTAGTAAACAGAAGTGAGCTCTGGGGAGCTATACAAAATGAAAGACTTTTATAGGCAGCAGTGAGTGGGAACACGCAAGTTATACTAGGTGATGTGGGGAACAGGGTGTAGGCTGGATGCGCAGGGTTGAAAGAATTCACCAGAGACTGAATGGAGAACAGAAGAGGCAGATTGATTGAAATCTATTGTTGGGAGGAGTGGTAGACAAGGAGAGAAAGGTGTCTGCACTGAGAGAGGGTCTTGAGGCTCTTTTCATACTCCAGGCATCAGTGATTGGCTAGGATATCTGGCCTTGGGCATGTCCCAACTCATGATGGAGATTACTGGCTTACTAGCCTGCTTCTCATGACAGCCCCATCACTCCCCTTTCTATTCAAGCCTCCCAAACTTGTCTGCTGGGCAAGGGGTGGGGGCTCAGTTTTACCTTTAGTAATGGTACCAGGCTCTAGGCATAAAAAAAGGTAGGTTATGGCAAAGTCACTTTCCTTTAGGAGAATGCAGGTGTCTCTTGAGCAGGTTACCTAACTAGTGCTGACAGATGAATCCCAATGGATTCGTTTAAGAGACCAGTTTCTGAAAAGCTGAAATTGTAAGAAGGTAGAATTTAGTTTGGTAATGTGGGACATAGCATAAATGACTCCATTTTGGACCTGTTGTCTCATTAACCATTAATATGTCACATGCATTTGTATGCATTAAGTCAGTTCTCTCTATTAATAATGACATATCAATATAATAATTCTGTGGGGTCAGCCCCTCCAAATGAGTCAAATAGGCTTTTCTCAATAGAGCCAAAATAGCCCTCTGTCAACTTAGAATGAGAATTAGTGGTCAATGAAGGTTCTGTGAGCTTCAGGAGGTTGCTTCATACAATTTCTCTTATGTTGAGAGCAGTGAGGGCCCTGAAGATGAGGAGAAGCTTCTGCTCTATCTAGCCTTAAGTCCTAAGCCCCTCCCTATTACAAGAAAAAATCATTATGGCGCAAGCGTCTGTTATTTTCCTAATAGAAAGAAACAACCACTGTTAAGACCAAAAAGGATGTAGGTGGCGGTATCATCCAATTCGAGTTTCATCAGTAGACATATTCTCTAAGAATCACATATCTGTACTCACAGAGTAAGAAGAGGCCATCTCCTTTTCTTATCTGTCAAGAATTCTCCCTCTCCCTGTCCTTGATGTTTAGGTTCCAAAATTATTCCTGGTCAGCTCCGTTATTCTTTGCAATATACAGCCATGTGAGCTCTCCAAATATAAATATATGTTATGAAATTCATTGTGTTCCTTCTGCTAATCCATCTGATCTTTTGATCGCACATTCATCCCTAGAAGAACCCAGAGGGGTACAGGATGCACATTGACAACTCACGTCATTCATCTTTTCTATATTTTATGTGTGTATTTATTTGTGTATGTGTATGTGAAACTTCCACCTACTGGACTTTAGACCTGCCCCAAATCTTCACCAATTCTAAGATTTTCTATTTTACTCAGTATGTTAGCAAAATTAGGCCTGAGTTCTTTCTTCTGCCTGTTAACAGAGACAGGCTCTGAAGATCTATAGAATCAGCTGATTCTTATTGTATGCTTTTATTGACTTTTGCCATATTCTTAAATCCATGGCCAAACTTCAGTTGCATTTAAGGCAATTAAAGACTGAGGCTGCTTTCCAGGTCCAAAGATGCCAACCCCTGTGTGCCTTGCATTCTTTACTGGTTTCATTTAATTCTGCCAACATTTGCATAACTGATTCCTTTATTGAATTAATTTCAGTTAACTTTCTACTATTCTGTCTTCTACCAAAACTCTGATTTAGATGCTGAAGCCTAGAAAAATCCTCTAGACTCTGAGTCTAGAGCACACCTGTTCACACATCACGATGTACATCTGGATGTAGTTCACAGAAAGATTCATCAGCATCCTCTTGTGTGCTGGTAGCACTGTAAGCATAATTTCATGATGAAATTATACATCTGTGCACTGCTACCCTCTCTGTATGATGTGAGCTCCTCAAGGACAGTACATGATTGGTAACCAATGTCTGATATATATTATCACATACACTAAGTACTTGATAAAAGTTGATTGAGGAAATAAATGACTGAAGTAAATTATTCATCAACATAGGTGAGAAACTTATCAAGAATAGCATTGGACCATAATTTAAGTCATTTGTTGATCATATAGTATAGTCCTCTTCTAGAAAAATAGTGATTAAGACAATTCGAATGGGGAAAAATTGGTGATTAGTTAGTGGATCATTTCTGTTTTCTTTTTGGTGGCAGGAATATTTATTTGAACATAGTTTTTGTTTTTAAATTAAAGGAAAAAAAAAAAAAACAGAGAAACCAGACCAACTTGTGCTTGAAAAATGTCCAAATCAAAAAGACTTCTGTTCATGGAACTTTTCCAAATAACAGGCAGAGATGCTTGGGGGATATTTTGTTTACTTCAATCTGGCATGTGTACTGCCTTCCCCAGGGTGTAATAACTAGGGCTGATCAACAGCCACGGGAGCTGGGAACCACTTGTTCAATTTCATGCACCTATAAACCACTTTTGATATTTTTCTTGCAAGATTATTTTTTACATGTTTATGTGTGCATTTGCTTATTTAATCTGTGTTCATTTATCACATCTATAATAAAATCAGAATATTATTTAGAGAATGAATAAAAATTTAATTAAACCTAAGAATCATAAGGTTGGTCCAAGTCAGGAATAAAACTTGGATTTTTATTTATGCTTTTTAATGGTCTTTTATTATGCTTTCACCTATTTTTTTTTATTCCTGGTCATATCTAGTGATACTCTGTATATCTCATTAAATTCCATTAAAATATTTTTATTATTTTTTTCTTTTTCTTTTTTTTATGTTTATTTTATTCATTTATGCATACAAGAACTGGGGTGTAGGCCAGAGGTGCAGGGGATAAGAGAATTCACCAAAGACAGAGAGGGGAGCAGAGCAAACAGATTTACTGAAATAACTACTGAGGGGAGCAGCAGAGGAGATAGGAAAGGCTTGCTATGCCATTTGGGTCAGCTCCCTGGGCGGGGATCAAATGCTTGTTACATGTTATGGTGGCTGGCAATAGCTTGATAGTGCTGTGTCTTTAACCCCTGAACCACCAGAGGCCCGAGATACTTAAGTTTTAATTGCACAGTTCAAAACATTTTGAGACTGTCATCATAAAAGTTGAGGTTATGGAACAAATCTAGTAAACCAGATGCTTTCTTGTGCCTACTTTGTGCCTGCTTTCATATTCACCACCCTCATCTGCACCAAAAGGTGAACACTATTCTTTTCTTGTTTTAAAGATTTATATTTATGTATTTATGCACACAAGAACTGGGGTGGGGGTGGTAGGCCAGAGATTCAGGGGCTAAGAGGATTCACTAGAGAAAGAGTGGGGAGCAGAGCACACAGATCTACTGAAATATATTGCTAAGAGGAGCAGCGAGTGAGACAGGAGCTAAAGACCTGCTATTCATGGATGAAAAATGATACTATATAATATAGAACACTATTCAGCCATTAAAAACAATAAAATCTTGCCATTTGAGGAACAGAAATGGACCTGAGGGCATTATGTAAATGTTTCTAAGTGATTATGTTTAAGTTTTTACTGAACACAAATTATTCAGTTTACCTTTTGCTATGTAACAAATAAAACCAAAATTTAGAGGCTTAAATTATCCATGTTATTATACTCAAAGGTTCTATGGCACAGGAATTTAGACAGGGCACAGCAAGGACTGCTTGCCTCTTTCTAAGCTATTTGGAGCCATAGTTGGAAAAACATGGAGACTAGGGATGATTTAGTGACTGGAGACTGGAATCATCTGAAGGTTTGTTCATTTATCTGCCTGCAAAGCAGAGCTTCTGCACCATCTACAGGTGACCTTCCAACATGACTTGGCTACCTTTCAGCATCGTGACACCAGCCCAGGGCTCCAGGCACCAGTGTTTCACCAGATGAGGCAGAAGCTGTATTGTCTTTAGTGACAAGCTCAGAATTCATATTCTGTTCTCTTATCCATATTCTGTTGGCCAAAAGTTGGAAGCCCACCTAGAATCAAGGGGAAGGAACACAGAAACTACTTCTTGAGGAAGCACACTCTACCCTACATAATCCTGTGGAGGTTAGGAGATACTGTTGTGATACTCTTTGGAATTTGTATCCAATGAGTGATTTTTTTTTAGAGGCTTAATTCACATTTGAAATGCAATATGTTCTGTGGTTGCTAAGGATATTTCCTTGCAGATGAGCTATTGTCCTTCTTCTGTATTCAGTTAGTCACACAAAATTTTCTTTGTGACAGGCATTACTTTTATCTTTTTCCTAATGTTGCATTTTCTTAGTCTGGGCTCATTACCTCACTGATAAAGCTGTTTTAATATTTAATCTATTCCTAGTTCCCAAGTCATTTTTTAAGTATCCATCAGTTCCTTCTAAGTGTTTAATTTAAAAGTCTTTGAAGCATGACTGTATCTGCTAAGGCAAATCTAAATGTCACCCTTGGAAGCAGCCAGTGACATTCAGATGACTCCTTACAGTATGAAAAACTCATTTTTCTATCATGTGGTGTATTTTGTCAAAAGAGGTCCAGAAATGGTGCATTTTCCACTTAATATACTTAATGTAGTTGGAGGCACTGGCAGGCAGACTATCGCTAATCCCAGTTGCGCCACTTAGTTGTATGAAACTGAGAAAGTTTCTTAAAAATTATGGGTTAGTTTCTTCATTCATATACTGAAGCTAAAAAATCCTTACTTTGCAGAGTTGTAATAAGGACATCAAATTGCTAAAGAAGCTTCTGTTATAGGGCCTGTTAATAGTAATTAACAAAGAGGAAAACTACTTGTACATTTTTTTGTGTGCCTCTAAATTCCCCTTTAATGTAACTACATGACCAGTTGTATTGAGTGTCCGATTTCACTTGGTAGTAAGGGAGGATGTGTCTGCACTCAGTCTGATTTTGAAAATGTTGGGTTCATCTTTTTACTTGCTGGGTAGTAGCAGCAAGACACCACCTAAGAGCCATGGTAAATATCAGGGAGGTAACTTCAGAAGCTGGGTTAGACACAGGCATCCTTTATTAAGGGCGTTGTTGCTATTGAAGGAGTTTGTTGTCTCCATAAGTGATGATTGGATTGTTAAAAAGGTGGTAAAAGAATTCTATTCAAATGAGATGTCCCTTTGCCTAACCACACAGACTGGTATCTCATGATAAAATGTGTGTTTATTTAACAAAATGTATTAAATCTCTGGCACTGTATGCCATGAAAGAAGTGAGGGCTTCCCTGGTGGCACAAGGGGTTAGGTCACAGCACTATGAAGCTATCCACTGAACATATGCTGCAGTTCACCTGTTTGACCCCCCTCCAGGAAGCTACGGACATGGCACAGCAGACGTCTCCTGTCTCGCCTGCTGCTCCCCTCAGCAGTGTATTTCAGTCAGTCTAACTGTTCTGCTCCCCACTCTGTCTCTGGTGATTCCTCTCACTCCTGGTACCTCTGGTCTTTACACCAGCTCTTGTAAATAAATAGATAAATTGTTTAAAAAAAAAAAAGTGAAACACAAAACAGAATTTTCTTCTACCGCTCATGCTTTCTCCACTTAAAATCTATTTCTAATCTCCAATTATTATACTAATCATTTTAAAGATGAAAAATGTTTATTGTGTTGTTTCATACTGCGAGAAAGCTTTAATTGACTTGGGTCTTGTTGTCTTTCTGTGTGGCAGGTGGTGAAGTTTACTAAATCCTTTGAATTGATGTCCCCTAAGTGCAGTGCTGATGCTGAGAACAGGTAAGGCTTGTAAATTTCAGGTTTGTTTTTAAATGGTCTTAATCCCTGGTGTTGGCAGTGTTACATAATTTTCTAAGGATAGGTTTTATTGTTATTTTTTATTTTTATCAGGAGAAGCAGTAAAATGTCATTGTTCATCTGCAGTTCATGGCTTACATAAAAACTAGCTTAGGCCCTCCCTGGTGGCGCAGCGGGTTAAAGCACAGCACTGAGAATCTAAAGCCGCTTCCGAATGAGTTCGATTCCCGCCTGCCCCGGAGGTGACCACATGGCGTGGCAGACCTCTCCTGACCCGCCCGCTGCTCCCCTCAGCAGTGTACTTCGTCGATCTGCCTGTTCTGTTCCCCACTCTGTCTCTGGTGAAGCCTCTCGCCGCCCCTGAGCCTCTGGCCTGTACCCCAGTTCTGTATGCACAAATAAATAAATCTTAAAAAAAAACTAGCTTAGAGGCCCTCCCTGGTGGCACAGCGGGTTAAAGCACAGCACTAAGAAGCTAAAGCCACTATAGCATGAGTTTGATCCCTGCCCATGGCGTGGCAGACCTCTCCTGACCTACCCGCTACTTCCCGCAGCAGTGTACTTTATTAATCTGCCTGTTCAGCTCCCCACTCTGTCTCTGGTGAATCCACTCACTGCCCCTGCACCTCTGGCTTGTACCCCAGTTCAGTATGCATAAATAAATAAATCTTAAAAAAAAAAACTGATAGCTTAGAAATATATGAATGGATATCTAAAACTGCTAATGAAGTTATTTTTATTTTTCTTATTTTTATTCATTATCATTTTTTATTATTTTACATCATTTGTCATTTTGTGCATTTTTAAAAAAATCTCAGTTGTAATCCCCGTGGGCTTCCCACCACCTATTCACCCATATGCCATCGCCATAGTCCAGTGCACTCTTCCCACCCCAGTTCTGATCCCACTCCTCTTTCCACCCTCATAAAACGTCTCTGGCTAATAGTTGTTCACTGTTTTCATTTTTACTTTTGAATAAAGTCATTTTTAGGTATCCCTAATTATACAGTCTAATTTTCTGTTTTATTCTATCCAAGGATTTTCTTCCTTTCTTTTGTGTGCTTGTATTTAGCCAATTAAATCCCTTTGGGAGAAAGGATGAGTGTTTCCAGTAATTATTTTTTTATACCCATTCATTGATATTGGTGAGGGGAACGTTGAGGGCCGGGGACAGTGAACTTCTGTTAGCTTCTGTTAGCTTTGTAGGGCCCTGCGTAGTAGCTGGATAGTACCAAAAAAAAAAAAAAAAATGGGTTCTTTTACGGTCACTTTTAGAGGAAGGACTAAAAATCATGAAATTGACCAAAATACAGAAAGATGGAGAAAGACAAGTGAAGCACTGATGACCACAAAGATGATTCTGATACCAAAGCCAGCAAGAGAAACAGCCTCTCTCTGTTGGGTGCTGTGTGCTAGGAGTTATACATTTCTATATAATGACTGGGCCCAACAAGCCTATGAAGTAAAGGTCATTAACGTGTAGGACAAAGGAAAAGGCATGGTTCAGTGAGTTTAAGTGACTTGTCCAACGCTCTATGGCCAGTAAGTGGTAGCTGTGTCAAGGACAAGATCACCTAGATAAGATGCTCCCAACCTTTAAGCTTGGACCTCTTGCCAAACATAATTTGTGATATGGTAGTTGATACAGTGGTTATCTGTTGGGCTAATGTTTCCCAAATTTAACTGATAATTAGACTCAAGCTTGGAGAACTTATATAAACTAAATTCTAGTGTTTACACTTAGCAATTTTGACTTGAGTATCAAAGTGATGTCCTAAAGATTTACAGATTCAAAAAGCTCCCTAGCTATACCTGTTTGAAATTGTAATTTCAAGGAAAATTTGATTTTATAGCTTTATTATTGCCTTTAAGTCCAGGAAATAGAAACCATTAAATTAAAATGGAAACTTTATTTCCTAACTTCATTTCAAGAGCTTGAGGTATAAAAGTGGCCTTTGTTACTTACTATATGATTCTAGTTGTAGGGATTTCTGGGAAAATAAAATTATAAAATCAGATAGTATGTCAGTAATTTCCAGAAGCTAGAGATGTGAAGGGATTTACTGAGAAGGGATACATGGGAATTTCGAGTTGTGATGTAACTGTTCTATAGCTTCTCTGGGGTGGTGGTTATATAATCGCACTAGTCAAAATATGCAGAACTACAGACCAAAAAGAGTAATTTTTACTGTAAATTATATCTCAGAGTAGTAAAAAGGAAGTCTTGTGTAGACCTTTCATGTAAATATATTTGTATCTGCATCCAATGTCAACTAAACCTATAGATAACTAAGATAGTTGGACATAGTCAGCTGAGGTACTCAGAAGTTTTCCTAAAAATTTCTTATGAAATACATTAGGAGAATATTTATTATTGTTTATTCTTTTAGGTAGTTGTGATCTCAAATAAGTTATCTTTTTCATATGTAGTAGGAGGGGAAGCTTTATGGGTTTGTCAAAGCACAACCTATGAAATTCTAGTGCTTCAGTCCTCTTTCCATACTGCTGTGTCCTCATTATCTCTGCAGGGTTAAATACTTCTGGCATTTTGATTATTTTTAATGTTAAAGAACTTCCATCACAATGAAATGATCCAAGCCAAACTGCCCTTGATAAGCTTTCTAATCACAAAGGGAAATAAGAAGCTCAGAATTTGTTTAAACAGATATTTGAAAAGATGTTCTTGAACCTTGACATTATGAGATAGTCCTCTTCATCTTTCTATTTATGGCCTTTAAATTAATGTAGAATGTTCATTTATCTTAGAAGACCTTTCCTGTGTTGTCTAGTAATTTTCCTCTTGGAGCTGTGGAATTCTTCAGTCATTTATTGAAAGTTAAAGGAATAATGACAAGTAGCTCTAGCATTTACTTCGCCAGTGACCATGGAAGAGACATTGAAACAGGCTCTCACACTGTAAATCTTTCCTCGAACCTTTCCCTTACCATCTTCACTGTGGAGAATGTCTGTTAAATACCTTAGTCCTCTAGACATCATTCAGAGTTTTAATAGGATAACCTTCTAAAAGAATGTCTCTGGCTTCATGCAGCAATGTTTCAGGGTGCTTTTTAAATTCTTTTGATCTTTCCTTTGAAGTCTGCTACTTTCATTGACAGTCCTTGAAGACATTTTCCAAAACCAATTTTGTTACTAATTCATCACTTCTGCTATTTGTCTATGGAACTATTCTGTTGTCTTTAACAGTCTTTTATTTTTTCCATGTAACTAATACCAGCCAGTATGAGTTGGAAATGATTTGTTCCATCCCTTTCCGTGAAATGCATACCTCCCGGGATGGCTTTGTAAATCCTCCAGTGGTAAGATTCCTACTGTGTCATGATGGTCTTCTGTCACTGGTAGGGAATTCTAGTTATTAGGACACTTCATATTGAATCACATTCTTTTAACTCCTACCTGTTACATCTGAATTTACACACTGACGATAACTATTCCTTCAGTCACTATCCCTTCATCTACTAGCCTCTGTCGAGTACCTACTCTGTGTCTGTAGTAATGGGACTACAGACATTTAAAAAAAATCACCAGTCTCTGCCCTCAAAGACACCAAAGCCATTGAACAGAAATGGGAATGAGTTAAGAATAGAACCAGATTTCACCAGGCCTCCAACCCATGGTTAGAAATAGAATCATACCAGCAGTGGTAAGTTTTACTTGGCTGCTTGGTCATTTCTCCTTGTAATGAAAGTCCTGCTTGCAAATGCTACTCTTGAAGTAATTCTGGGAGTCTCTCCAGTTTTTAAAAGACTATTTAGAATTTTACTATTGAGTCATCACTTTTTTTTAAAAGATTCATTTATTTATGCATACAGAACTGGGGTACAAGCCAGAAGTGGGAGGGGGAGTGAAAGGATTCACCAGAGACAGAGTGGGGAGCAGAACAGGCAGATCAATTAAGTACACTGCTGAGGAAGCAGCGGGTGGGTTAGGAGAGGTCT